TTATAAGTACACTACCGCTCAAAAGTATTTGGCCACCCTGTAAAATACATTTTGTGAAAGATTGAATGAATGAAACTGCTTTATAATATTTTAAACTATTTATTAACACTATTTTAAATATTAAACATAACACGTTTCCTAAATTTTAGACTCATCTATATGTCCACCTTTGTTTTTAATTACGGCTTCACAAAGCTTCGGCATCCTTGCAATTAATTTCTCCAGTGTCGTCTTAGTTATCTTCTGCCATTCTTCTTGTAACTTTCTCCATAAGTCTTCCTGAGATGTAGGACAACATTTTCGCACTTGTCTATCTAACTGATCCCACAATAATTCGATAGGGTTGAGGTCTGGGGACTGCGGAGGCCATGTCATGAGTTTCAAGACATTTTGTTGTTCTTTTCCTTTTAAAAAGTCCTTGCAGAGTTTCGACGTGTGTTTAGGATCATTATCCTGCTGAAATACAAATCCCGAACCAATTAAACGGGTTCCTGACGGTACTCCACTATTCTCTAATATGCTTTTGTAACCTTCTTTTTTTAAGATTCCCTGTATCCGTACAAGATCTCCAACGGCGGAGCCACCAAAACAGCCCCAAACCATCACAGACCCTCCGCCGTGTTTAACAGAAGCCATAGTACAAGCGTCCATCACCCTTTCATTAGACTGCCGGCGTACGAAAACTCTTCGCTTAGATCCAAAAATTTCAAATTTTGATTCATCCGTCCAGAGAACCTTTTCCCAATCTTCTGTTGTCTAATTCTTGTGTTCCTTAGCCCAATGTAGTCTCTTCTTTTTATTAACAGCTTTAAGAAGTGGTTTTGAGACCGCTACGCATCCTTTAAGTCCTGCGTCAAGGAGTCGTCTTTTGATTGTAGACACACTCACTGGTTTATCACGCCCTATGTTGAATTGTGCTGCTATTTCTGGTGCGGTTAATCGTCTATTCCGTTTGCTTTTGACAACAATATTCAAATCTTCACTCGAAGTGGTGGCTCTTGGTCTACCTGGACGAAGACTGTTGCAAATTGTTCCTTCAGGCGCAAATTTCTTGACAATGTAGTCCACAGTTTGCGTTGGTATCTTCTGCAATCTTGATATCTCACGATTACTTTTACCGGATTTATGACGACCGATTATAATGCCTTTGGTCTCTTGAGAATGTTCCTTCGTTTTACCCATTTTCACCAAAAAAACAAAACTTAACGCGCGAATGACAAAAAAATGTTACTAGACTTCAATTCTTGAGTTGGAGAGCCTGATTTCTGGTCCAATGACATCAAATAACTAAGGTTATTCAATCTCTAGTAATTATTCCACGTTACCGACTTATTTATTTCTTAAAAATGTAATTAAAAAGAAAGTGCCACTTAAAATAAATTTTGAAAAAAATTCCGGCAATGACACTATCTTGATATTACGACCAGGAATTCGCCAATAACAATAAGCTGTTTACCTTATTTGAATGTAGATAAGTATTTTACGATGAAATACAAACATTAGAACATAATAAAATTGTTTTCAATGAAATACAGTTGGTGGTAATATCAAAAGTGCAAGTGGCCAAATACTTTTGAGCGGTAGTGTACATACTTACCAAGAGATATCGCGCTAGATCACCTTCAATCTAGTCTTAGGTCTTTCTTTTTATACGTACATGGATAATTATTTTAAGAATTTTTTAATGTTAATTATTCTATTGTGTTATTGTTTTAGTACAGGAATGTATATAGTATTGTATCTATTAAATAATGTTCTTTGTATAATCAGAGAGTTATTTGTATACTAATACTAGTTATAATATGTCACTATCACCCCTTTTATTCTCTAAAGAAGAAGCAGAAATGCACATTACATTATGTAGCAACCGTTTTTCCATGTACATACGTCGCATGTAGTAGGCCGCGAACCTGTGGCCATAGGTACTTACCTACACCAAGTATAATTCTAAACTCCGTGCTACTACTGATCAGATAACCTATACTTTATCGGTACCTAACTCAGTCAGAACTCATCCAACAAGACATAAGAAGTCTTTAATTAAAATTGTAACTATTTTAATGACCTTACACTGATAGACCTAAATTTTTTTTATGGCATAAGCCGGTAAACCTACACACGGATTACCTGTTGGTTAACAATCGGCGCCGCTCATGGACACCCGAAACACCAAAGGTGTTACAAGTGCGTTACCAGCCTTTTGGGGAATAGGAATTGGAGGATTGTTAGATATTGGCTTTTGGACTGAGGAGGGGTAATTTGACCTCCGGTAACCTCACTCACACGACGAAACACAACGGAAATATTGTTTCACGTCGTGTATTTGTGAGGCTGTCTAAAGGTATCCTATACTTATTATAGTCTTTGGTGGTATCGCTCTAGTCAAGCCGGCCCATACGTGCTGAAGCATGGCTCTCCCACAGTTCATACATATCTTCATTCACATCATAGACGAAATATTATCTGACGAAATAATAACTTAATGCATACATGTTTTGATGCGTTCATCAAGTACGTTTGGCTTTACAAGTGACAGTGTCATAATAAGATTATCCATTCAATAAGTAAGATAGTAGATATCTTCAGCTTAGCCGGGAATTTGTACTGGGTGAGGCACAGTCACTCTGCATATCAGATTATGAGCTACAACTGATACTACGTGCATTCGTCATAAATGGTTACAGACAATTTTATAGATATAGGGCTTGATAGCATTGTTTTGTTTAGACCTAGTAAATAATTCAATCATGAAGGTTGAGTAGTAAAAACTGCGCCTATTAATCCCAGAGTCTACGCTTTGGTCTTAATCGACGAAATGGACGATGTCGTTTTAGAAATTCTGGTATAGAATTTCCTAAATAAGGCCTAATATCTTATTATTATTGCCCTCTGGCTGTACATATTGTCGTATTCACTTTAACACGTTAAACGCCATGGGGGTCACCGGTGATGGCGTTAGCGGAGGATTTACCTTCAACAGTTTTTTATTGGCAGTCAAAGTCTTAATAAATATATAAATAACTTGTGACAATTGTATAATGATGCAAATTATGACGTCACAGTTTCACGCAAAACACAAAATGGCAATTTAATATTTATTTTACCTTGTATTTCTTTCAGTGTAAGACGAAATTAGGTGTTGCTAAATGGTCTAGATGCAAGTATAACAGAGAATATATTATGGTCACGTAAAAATATGGCAAACTAGCTTCTACCCGCGGCTTCGCTCGCGTCACAAAAGGATAAAAAATAGCCTATGTGACATATACCAATACATACAGCGCCATCTATACCAATACCTTTGTTTTCCCTCGGGAATATCAATATTTTTCCGGGATAAAAAGTACCCTATTACCTCTATTTAATCCAGACTTCTAACTTTACGTCTGCAAAAATTCAAAGCAATTGGTTTAGTAGTTACGGCGTGAAATCGGAACAAATAAACTCACTTTCCGATTTATAATATTAGTAAGGATAAACTGGTTCTATATCAATGAATAAAGTGGATTCAGGTTTGCTATTTTAAGAAAATTTTAATAATAAATAGCACGTGCAAACCGCCACCTGTTTGTGTGATCCACAAATTATTGTTTCTGGTCTGGGTGTCATGTGTATGTGAACTTGTATGTTTGTAAACTCACCACGACACAGGAGAAAATTCAAATGGGTTTTTTTTATATATTTGATGGGCCGACGTTTGACTTCTATCTTGCCAGGTGGTAAGCGATGATGCGGTCGATGATGGAGTACGTCAACCCATAAGCAAACTAATCAATCGAGGCTTGAAGACACCCATGTTATACCCTTCTGGAAATACAGAATATGGCAAAGAATTCCAAATGCTGGAGCGACTTTAAAAAACAACTTTTTTAAAGAGTACCAAATAACGTAATAATTAAAATTTCGAATGGTTTAAACAAGATTATATTTAAAAAAAAAACAATGTCCCACACTAGAATGTTACAAAGGTGTGAGCAATATCCCAGTCCATTACTAGTATCATATATGTAAACTATCTCCGTATAATATGTAAGTATTCATAACACATGTAATTTGTCTATCTGATAATATGCTTTACTATAAGATGACTAGAATGATAAACACGCAAATGTAGAGTTATGTAAACAACTGGTTATGGTAGGTTTTAACAAAAAAAACAATAGGTAAAACAACTGGATAATAATAATATATTTGTTACGGGTCTTAATATAACTCTGACATGTCTAGAATATTCTAGGTTCTGGTTTTGTTGGAGCATTTGTTTTTCAAAGTCAAAGGACTTATTTCAATTAATCCTCAATTAGGAACTTTTGAAAATTGCGTCAAAAAATTGAATTGTCCGTCTATCTGTCTATCAATTGCAGGCTCGTTACATCAGGCATATCGTACAATCTTTGTGGTTAAGTTAAAACTGCACAGTCAACCGGTTTACAATTTTAAACTTCCTTATTAAGTTCGTTGATCGGTAACGAGTGGCATCGTTGGCAAAGTATGGGTTAAAATTGAATAAAATTATGCGTATAAGATAAGTAAGTTGTAGATAAACAGACATACAAAGTTTAATCAGTATAAAATAAACCAAAAAGGACCGAGCTAACAAAAAATAATGTGTACGAAATCAATATCGATATCCATTCACGATAATCCGGATTCCAGAATTCACAGCTATTAAACTCACGAACGTGTTGATAATAAATAATAATCGGGTGTTTTATTGTAGGGCTGAAAACAAAAGATAACGGTCGCTCTATCTGCATTAATATCATTTTATCCGTGTGACTGTACGCCCAGAGATATGTATATATTTTTACCTCGCGTCTAACGCACTACAGTCGCGTCCACCGTCGAATAAACACCGCAGTGACAGTGAATATTGACCCGCGTGAAATAAAAACAATGCGTGGTCACAGTTGAGGAAGTTGACAATTTTATTGTGACGTGCGGATCGGCCCTCTAATATCGTTCTTTTTTGTGAATACGGATTTTAGTGCTCAGTTAATATGACGGTGCCATCGATTCCCCAAATACTCACGGAACTGAAGATGACACAGGATGACCAGCAGCCCAAAAAATGTTCCGTTTACGTATGGTGGGTGGATTCCTGGAGAGGAATCCTGTCAGAATTTATCTCCACGATGATGCTCGTACTATTCGGCTGCATGTCTTGTTTGCCCATGGAAGGAATTAACTTAACCATATACCCACCCTTCGGATTTGGTTTCGTAGTCTTGTTCAACATTCAAATCTTCGGACACATTTCTGGAGCATACATGAACCCGGCGGTGACTTTAGCAACAGTAATCTGGGGAAGTAAGTCGATACCTATTGCAATTTTGTATGTACTAGCCCAATGTGCGGGTGCAGTACTCGGCTATGGGATCTTAGTAGCACTATCTCCTTTTGACTTGGAAGTTGATAGCGTGTGTGTGACAATGCCATTCTCCGGTTTAACCGACCTGCAAGCGGTGGGAGTTGAAGCAGCGTTAACCGCAGCACTTATTTTGATTAACTGTGGTCTGTGGGATCCAGCGCATGCGAATAAACAAGACAGCGCCCCGATAAAGTTCGGATTAACAATTGTTGGACTTGGTCTCGTAGGAGGACCACTGACTGGGGCAAGCATGAACCCTGCGAGGACTCTCGGACCAGCTGTTTGGACTGGCAGGTGGATTAGACATTGGGTATACTGGGTTGGACCACTTATCGGAAGTTTCTTTTCAGTTCTGTTCTACAAAAAAGTGTTTTTGAAGAAATACGAATAAACGATAACTGTGGTATTTAACAAATAGATACTCTAGAAGTATCAAAAGCTGATCATCTAAAGCTAGATACGAAGTATTGGACGTAAGTTTTGTATTTATATATATGTTACCAGTATATAGCAGCTACCTAGGTATATCTACATAAACGTGTAGTGGGTACTGTTGGTTTTGAAGGCGTATTCGCCCATACATTGTACAAACAAAGTATGAACTATCGATATGTCGGTGACTGATAATATTCGGACATCACAATACCCAAGGTCAAACAAAATAATTACTAGTAGTTTCTATAAAGTTTTGAAAGATTTAACGAGGTTTGACTTAACGGGTTCAGTACATTGCTTTCAATACTTCGTGTCTAGACAAAAACTATTTATTACAAATGTATAAATAAATAATTTATTATCAGTATTTATCTCAAAGTGTAAAATTATTTAGTACGTTTAGTTTTAAGGACGATTTTGTATAGATTAGATAATAATTTTTAGTCATTTAAATACTCTTGCAGTGGATAGCCTGGTTTATGTAAATTACGGTTATATTCCAACATAATTTATTAATCTTCATCCAAACTAGTAGAGTTTCTATTTAAATCAATTGTGCGAAATAATTTTTGCCTTATCAAAGTTATTTCTTCTGTCCATTTAGCGTGAAAGTGGCTATTTGTTCTTACGTGGTTATTGATGATTGATCCAATTAACACTCTATTTCTAATAAAATAGAGTGTTAATTGGATTTCCCATAGGAAATAATGCCGTTGGAATTCTAATGATAATTAAATGGCAAAACCATTGACGTAACAGTCCAGTTTCTCTTGGGGACAATGAAACAAAAAAGGTACTAGGGAGGAAAGATCAAAGGTCTTGGTCAAGTCTTGCATTGCAGTCATTTCAAGTAAATTAAGACTTACATTTAATTCTTTTGGGAATAAACGTATCCCAAACCTCATTTACGCAATTCATGAATAATTTTGAGGTATACAAAATATTAATAAGAAACGAGTAAATGTAGTAAAATTTGGCAAACAATTGATTTTTGTTAAATATCTCAGTAAGAAGGTCAAATAAATATCTTACGAACTAAAAGACTGTAATACATATTACACATTTACCTAACAGATCACTAAAGTGTAGGCTTATAGATTCATTTTATATGTCTAATATTTAATATGTATTTTATTTAATATGTCTAATACATATTTTATGTCCGCAAATACGATTTTTTACTTACCTACCTGTATTTTAGTCGGCAAAACATGATATACAGGTATTTTGCCAACATTTATATTGCAGTCATATATATGGGACTCAGTTTAGTATCTTGGAAGCCAATCTGCGCCGATGACCTTAAAAACAAGGAAAATACAAGCTTATACACGTATTGTATATCTAACTAGCCACAGTTAAAACCTGTTATGTGTCTAAATAATCTTTAACTAGTAATTTTATGTGAAGTCAACGACACTTGATTATGTACTTCATTGTTTATACATGTATCTTGCCTGTATAATTACATATGTATGTATGTATAGCAATGCATAGAAGAAAAAGTAACTGTTCGCTTTCACTCCCTATGTTCATAATGCTTCGATATTTAAAATTACGCAATGAATTTTGATGTAGTTTTTAATAGGTAGAGTGGTTCAAGAGGAAGGTTTATATATAAAATAACACGCATGAGAAACCGGGAGCGGAAAACTAGTGTAATTATAATGTAAATGTAATGCAAAAAAGCTCTAGAATTTTCCGCAGTGCTCCCGCGCCTCAAAGAGCCATCAGACCACAACAGATAGGCCAATCAGGGCTGATGCCCTATCCAGAGCTGTGGACAACTTAACGTTGTTCAAAGCAAGAATAGGAACGTGATGGTTTTTAGTCAGGAAGAGTCTGCCATTCGCTTCACCCAAGGAGGACGAAGTGGACCGACTACCTGAAAAAGGTACAGGATGTCGCTGCATGCAGGTTGCTTACAATTGACAGATCTAGAAGTCGTTGTAGCCCACATTTAGCAGTAGACTCTTGGGGCTAATGTGATGCTGATGATGTACTTTTCTAGTGTGCTATTGATTGTAGAATTGCAATCTAATAGTTATACAAATGTTATATAACTTTGTTTCAATATTCGATAGAGTCCGTTATTCTGTCAAACACCAAGCGGTCACCAGTGACCGCGACCTATTGTTCTTTAATTGTGTCTATAAAACCGGTACTCGACGAGTTAAATAATTCTACCATAAACAACATTTAAAAAATCCGATTTCAAAATCGTCTTGTTTTGAAGTAGGTAGGTAAAATTAATATAAATACAAAAACTTTCTCCTAATAATAAAAACCGCATCAAAATCGGTTCGAGATAATCGTGCACAAACCGACCTACCTATATACCTACAAGTCAAACACATAACCTCTTTTTTTGAAGTCGGTTAAAGAACAGATGTTTTTGTTACACACACAAATTATAAATTGTTTAATTGTGTTAATTCAGAATCCGACTGACGCACTTTCATCTAATCTATCTACAGAGCTATTGTACTGATATTTTATGCACAAATTATATTATGGTGAAGGCAGTTTAACTTTTATTTTAACTTTTACATTCAAAACTAGTTTTTATGTTTCGTAAACTCGTTTCGAATAAAAACATAAGTGAATGTCAATATGTTATTCTGTCGGCTAAATTATCGACAATTAAAGTTTCCGGGTTTCGCCTATGCTTAGTATACGAGTAAGAAATTCGAAAATCATTCATATGCAGTGGTCATACAATTCCTTTTAAATTACATAACATATTTGTTTATGTATGTGTCCTGAATTAAGAATTTACTATTTTTAATCCACTTTCATACCGTGGATGTTATCTGGAAATGTAATTAGTATCGTCATCAAAGTCATTGCAATATCAACTTTAATGATGGTGTTATAAATCTCATTACCATTCCTATAATGAGAATTTCTACTCACTCCCCGTCGATAACTAACTCAATCACATTTTGCCACGTCTTCTTTTGATATGGTGCAATATGTAAAAAAAAATTTTCTTGTCTAAAATATGAATAATGTTAATAAAAATAAAATAATGAAACTTTGTAACTAGAGAAGTATATAAATTGTGAACCTGATTGAAAGAGAGTAAGGAGTTTCTTGCTCGTTCATCTTCATATGACATTATTCATTCTATTCATTCATTATTCATTCTACACCTGGAAATGAGCAAATAGCTTCACTTTAAAAAAAATTGTTGACGTTGTATAGTGGCTTTCAGATCTAATTGAAATAAATGCTGCACTGCACACTGCACAATGCAGACTGCACGGTTGGTGCGGTGGCTGGGCAACCGGCTGCCGTACAACGTGGGTTGCGGGTCGCGGGTTCGATTCCCGCACGGGACAACACTTTGTGTGATCCACAAATTGTTGTTTCGGGTCTAGGTGTCATTGTGTATGTGAACTTGTATGTTTGTAAACGCACATGACACAGGAGAAAATCCTAGTGTTGTTAGTTTTCTTTTTTTTTTTCTAAGAAAAAAAAAGAAATGATTTTGATTTTGACTTTGACTTTGAAAAACATAAAAACTCTTACTATAATATAAACACGTAAGTGAATTCGTTTATTTATCTCATTCATATCGTGAATTTTATCTTACTCTTTTTCGTTGACAACGCGGGTTAATCCCCGGATAACAATTTGTTATTCGTAAATCTTCCACAAAATATTTTAAGTTTTGAATTAATTTATAAAGTAATATTCATCATCATGAACAGCCTATAAATGCCCACTGCTAAACAAAGCCTCTCCTCACATGGAGAAGGTTTGAGCATTAATCACCACACTTGATCAATGCGGGTTGGCGATTTCAAACTTATAATTAGAAATTATAACTCCAGGTTTCCTCACGATGTTTTCCTTCGCCGTTTTTTTTTAAATTGGCGCAAGCCCGCCACAGCCTCCCAAAACCACTGCAACTCCTATAAGCCAGGATCTACAGTAGATACAACCATGAAAACACCGGAACATTGAAATCCTTCGCCGTTTATCTAAATAGTGTTAAAAAAATTTTAGAAAGTAGATATAACTCGGAGAAAGTCACATTAGTATTTGCCGTCGATAGGTTTCGAATCCATACCCTCATGTATGAGAAGCGGGCATCTTAAACCTCCCACCACGACATATATATAAAATAACATTATAATTTTCTATTTTGAATATAACTCTAGAACCATAATATAGACTAATGAAATTACCATTTCAGTACCTCCTTAGTTCCAATTTCGCACAATAAGATTTAAATAGAAACCGTGTCGTTTGAAGCAGCTTTAACATAATTAATTAATATTGTTAAATCATTTAACTGAAGTGGTTTAATTAAGAAATACATGTCGAAGTACCTTTTAATTAAAATCTATGTCTATAGGAACTCTATGTTCTAAGTTAAGCATAATAGCTATATGTCTGTATATCATTATATAACAAGTCTGTATGGACAGTGATTTGTTTCCAAAAACCTAAGCTCTTTCAAAATAAAATGTATTATTACTTACAGTACATTATTTTCAACATTTTATTATCACTCGACTAATTTCAATCTCAACCGGGGCCCATAACTAGTGGAGTAACTTCAATTGACAGTTATGTCAGTAAGCTTATTGATATTTATCGTAGCCAAATCTAGTAAATTAATTTCTTATTCTAACTGGAAAATCCCAGAAGAAAGAAGTAGCAAGCTGTTACAAATTTTTCATACAGACTTATTATAATTTCATATGCAAGGCAACACTGTAGCCTGATATTTGCATTTCTATCAACTAGTCCAGTCAGAAATGGCGCGGTTCAATGACCTTAATTGATCTGCATAATTAGTTATAACCTAGACTTGTAAACTGTGCCTTTAAACTTGGTATAATTAATGCTAAATTATGGTAATAGCTATGTATATCCTCGCAAATACAGTACTGGTCAAGGAAAGATTGTTTTTTATTTTGATCTGCTCTATATGTATACGCA